GATTTTCTTAAATTATAATTATCTTGTATAGGGTATACATATGTAGATTGTTGTGGTTCTGAATAATCACTAGGGTACAGGACTGGCCGGGTAATAGACAAAACGTTACGATAGATCCATTTAGATCGGCTTGTTTTGTTCATGCCCTTTACGTTGATATCGCAAAAATAATAACCATTACTCAGCCATGTTTCCTAGAATTTTGTTAAAATCTGATCTCTATTTTTTTCCTTCAGGTCGCGTTTTTAAGTTACAGGTATTAATAGTAATTTATGAAAAAATTCAAAAATTTCAATTACAAAGTCATAATTTTACTCCTCATGAAGCGATTTTGAAACTTGTTTATTTTTGAAAATCGCTGTTGTTCCAAAATCGTACTCGCAAAAACTTACGAAAACACGAGCATAGCGGTATGTTTCATATTTGAATTAAATATTTTACACAGAGCTCGCAAGAAGTGGTCCCTTTTTGCAAGCAGTCATGAAAAAACCGGTTGTTCGCGGACACGCTTAAAAACGGAATCGAAAAGACCCTTCCGCTTCGTTTTTTCGCTCTTCGCTCTTTGCTCAACCAACGAGAGTGTCTTGTCGCTCTCCTTATGCATTCGTTCACTTGAGACACTTCGTTGAGCCGAAAGTGTCTTTTGCGAATGTATGTGTGTGTGTGTGTTCTGCGCGCGTGCCTCATTTGTTTGTTTTCGTTGAAGCGTGTAGATCAATTACGATGAGCCGTCAGAAAAATATGTTTTAAGTTTATAAATTTTCCTATGATTTCGTATTTACATTCTCGTTCTTCGTTATCCCTTCCTCTTCCACGCTTTGTCAGCGAGGGAATATATAGTAGCAACAAATACCTAACGCAACTACAACAAAAAGACACTTCGTGCATGCAGCTGGCTCGATTTGCTCAGTGACTGATGCTCAGTTGTTGAGCGCCGAACGAAAGTCTCGTCTCTCGCTCAGACTGTTTTCGTAGGAAAAAACTTATGCTTCGCCGCTCAGCACGAGACCGAAAACACGAGAGCAACAAAAACACGTGTTCTGTTCAGAGAGAGAGCACGTCTGTTTCATTTTTCTCTGTCTTTTCCGCGAGCAGACAGCATAAAAAAAATTGGTTGAGCATCTTTTTCGAGCATCTTTATACGGTATAAACGTTCGTGCGTATGAGGTAGGCAATACTTCTCTTCAGGTACGGTCGCTGACAGAAGCTAGCTGCTGTGGGAGCTGCTATCCCTCCGCTGCTGGCTGCTTTGACACCTAGTGTCCCTTCACAGCACTGCAGTCGATTAGCTGGTTGGTTGCCTGCACTCTGCAGCCCTGGTATACCAGTCGATCAGCTGGAGTGGAAAATTTGAAGGAACTGGCCCAAAGAAAAAGGAAAAAAAGAAAAGGCGGGAGCCTCCAGGCGTTGAGTGAGCTTGCCCCTTTGGGTGACCGTGCAAGAGCTGCGAGTAGCCCGGATCAGAAGCCAAAAAGTTTGTGTCTTGAACTTTCCAGGTGAGAACGCGGTCTCGCTTGCTGACACTTGTACTAATTTCGGGTATTTTTCGAAGGTAGTTTCCCGATTTTAGATATATTTTGCAGAGGAGCTGTTTGGCGCCTCCGCACGTGAAAATTCGCAGCTGTATTACAAACGTATTCCAATTCCGTGAAATCGATCAAATACATCTGCAAGTACGTGAATAAAGGCAGCGATATGGTAGTTTTTGGTGTTCAAGCTGGAAATGGTGAGAGGAATGCAGTACGAGTTGTCGAGAAGATACATAAGCAGCAATGAGGCTGCACGGAAAATTTTTTCATTTCCCATTAAAGAACGCAATCCAGATGTGGTTCACTTAGAAGTCCATTTGGAGAATGGCCAACGTGTCTATTTCACAGGCGCAAATGTGCAAGAAAGAGTCTTCAATCCACCAGCTTTACCTTATGCCAGGAAGACGCTTTCGCCAGAACACTGATGTATTCAGAAGTGCTCACTTATATCATGTGGAATGTAACAAAAAATCATTCATACGACTCAAACGAGGGGAGCCCGTCGAAGGAAACCCTGAAAATTTCAAAGAAAATACAATCGGTAGACTCTATACAGTGCATCCTAATCAAGATGAATGTTTCTTCTCTCGCATGCTGTTGGTCTTTTCAATATTTAAAATATGTCAACGGCGTCACACATGTCACTTTCCACAGTGCGTGTCAAGCTCTAAATTTATTGTAAAACGACCAACAGTGGAATATCTGCATCAATGATGCGTTTAGCACTGCATATCCAAACAAGATTCGCACATTGTTTGCAACTATATTAACCGCTTCATTCTCTTCATCTCTCCGTTCGCGCATGGCTGAGGATACTTTGCACAGAGTATGACCATGACCATGGAATTGACAGAAGGCAAGCATTTACAATGAAGCTTTAATAAACATTGAATAAAAAGTGCTTAGCTATTGCCAATAAAGTGATAATTCAGTTGGGAATGCCAGCACCAACCCGAACTGCGACTGCTTTATTAGATGTGGATTAGCGCCGTGAGCAGACTTATAATCTTCTTCTTCGATAATCTTCAGTCATATGTCCAATCATTACCAAATTAACCCATGAACAGAACGGCGCTTATGGTCATGTTTGGCAAATGATAAATAGCGAAAGTGGGGGCATCTTCTTCTTAGATGTTCCAGGAGGAACTAGGAAAACATTCCTCATCAGATTGATTCTGGCCACGGTTCGAGCAATAAGGGGCAGCTTTAGCTATTGCTTCATCCGGAATAGCTGTGACTTCCTGGCGGAAGGACTGCTCGCTCAGCGCTGAAGGTGCCATTGAACATGCAAATAATCGAGACCATCAGGTCTGGAAAAGTATTGCAGAAATGTAAACTCGTTGTTTGGGATGAATGCTCGATGGCATACAAAAAATCGCTGGAGGCTCTCGATCGATCATTACGGTATTTACGTGGAAACGTTCAACTATTCGGGAAAGCGTTGATATTGCTCGCAGGAGATTTCAGGACACTAGCGGACGAGATAAATGCTTTTCTGAAAAATTCAACATTGCGACACGTACGTATATTGACACGAATATTCGTGTCCACTTGCAGAACTATGAATCAGCCGAGGTATTCTCACGACAGTTACTGGACATTGGAAATGGAAAGCTGCCAGTCACTGATACGTCAAAAAAATATCATTTCCCAAAAATGGTTGTAATATAGTAACATTGAAAGAAGAACTAATCGAAAAAGTATTTCTTAATACTCAAATCAATTATAGGAATCAGTGAACGAGCTATCCTTACTACCTGTATAGAGACGTCTATCAACATAATATGTTAACCAATCCAGCATAGAAACTGCCGAAATTACATATTAGTCAATAGAGACAGTTGTGGAGGCTGATGAAGCAGTTAATTAAGCAAAGGAATCTTTGAATTCACTTGACCTGCGCAAAAAAATGCCCCCACACATAATGAAATTGGAAACAGGTGTGCCAATTATCATGATCCAGAATATTAATCAGTCAAAACTCTGTAACGGTACGCGACGTACCGTGGTGAAAGCAACGATCTTAACTGTACATTTCAAAGGAAAATCTTTACTAAAGATGTCTTCATTCCTAGGCTTCCTATGATCCCGACTGATACCCAATTTTAATTGAAAAGATTGCAATTTCCCATTCGTTTTGCATTCGCAATAGGGACGTCAGATAATAATTAGACTATATTCATTCAGAAAAGCCAACAAAATTCAGGAGCGAGATGAAAACACGACCGGAGTAAGCAAAAGAAATCGCAATAGTCTGCACGATGGGCAAGACGCAAGATGGCACACGTCAGCAAGAATCAAGAATCCCGGCAAGATCATATTTAAATATCCTAAGGCGCTCACTGATTTCGATCTCTATGCAGCTTATTTTCATTGACCTTTGTGCGTCAAGCGTTGCATTTATAAATTCACTGTCTTTATCTGTTATATTTTTATCAATTTTATTTCCAGGTGCCCTTCTTCTTAGCTCCAACAAGCTGTTTAAGCCGGTTCCGTTAGGAAGGATGCCAATAAACCCAAACCAGTACCCGACTACCTAGCACCGTGGTTGGTGGCCACTCGGCTCGATCTCGATCTCCACTATTGCAATACAATAAAAATCTCCGGAGCTGTATTTGTAGCCGTATGCCTGTAATGCATGCGATTTGACTTTGGCCAGGGCGAAGCAGCCGTCAGAGTGTTACTTACATACTCTTTTGTTGAGAATTTATTATTAACAGTTTACGGCATCTGAGTGTAGATCAATGCACGTCAAATGAAACGCACGTCGACATATAGAAGAACACCGAACAGCATCAAAGCAACGAAGCTGAGCGGCAGTGACGTCCGAATTGCATTCCGAGCAGTGATAAAGCGACATAGCGAGAACACGTCCGAGCGTAATGAGAGCTGATTGATCACTGAGCCGTCAGACGGTTGCTTTCTGAGTTTTTCTTGTTTAATTGTTAGTTCCTCATTTTGTATTTACTTTTTAATGTACAATTAAGTTAGTCTAGCCAGATAAGGTTTATCCGTTGGCGAATAAATAAATAAATAAAAATAAATAAATAAATTTATAATATTGTTAATTTATATTTAGGATACAAAGCCAGATAAAGAATAGATATAGATCTTGCCTATTATTAAAATGAACCCATCGACTTATCATTTCCACGGATGATCTTGTAAATTGCACAACCCACCATAAGGAAAACAATACGTGATGCCAGAGAAGTCATGCTAAGATACCATACTCATATCTACTAGAGTTCAGATTTCACGGGACTAGATCAATATTATGGCCAGAATGAAGAAAACAATTTCCGGTGGCTGTCTCTTCTTTGTCCAGTGTGGCGGGTGCGCTGGCGGAGTGAAGCAGATATAACGGATGGGTGGCAAGAGAGTGAGAGAGACAGTTCTAGTCCAACTAGCGCATGGGCAGAGCAGCGCCACAACCCACAAAAACAACTATATCCAAACAAGTGCTTTATTTGCTGTCAGTATTGTTTTGCAGACAAGTCTAGTGGAATACTGGAATACGGCCGAAATATAACGTTCTAGTTACATATGTACTTGTATTGCATGTATCCGTAGCCCGCTCCTGTATTCGTTGTTGTTTTTAGAAAATGATTATATATTTTTGGTACTGTCCAACTGAAATGTAAAATTTTATTGCACTTGTATGTAGAAACTAGTTTTATGTGTATGCATGTGTGTGTTTAATTATGTATGTATCGTATGTAGCCTACACCTAGACAAGGATGACCTGTGCTCTTTGCTTATAGCCAGAAGAAAGCTAAGAGAGTAGTCCACTAACATATCATATTGCCATTAATTACATGTACATATTACATATATAGTGTCTAAATAATCGTTTAGCTTGCACTTGAGTGTACGCATATTTTGATTTGATTGTTTAACATTTTAATTTGTAGTTTAGGTATGAATTCGGGTCAGATCAGCGAAAGACATTTAAATGACGATTATGTGGCCTGATGACTTTTATACAAATTAAAGATTCACATTCCTGATTGGATTAGACAATGCTAGGGAAAAATGGGAAATAATGGGAAACTAGACAAGTGTCAATGTTTAATTGGTCTATTACTTAATGCGCTACTATTACTTTAATTTGTATGGGATGGCGAATGCAATACAGGCTGATTGGTAGGTTGCATGTCAGATTTGCATACATTTTCATACACATACATACATATGTACATGCATATGAGCATATGTATGTACATATGTACATGCATGCACGGTACATTGATAAGTCAAAAATTGCATCTTAGAAAATCAACCATACGCACAACGAATGATGAACAATCCTATGTATGTATGTGTATGTGTGTTTATCATTATGAAAACCGTTGAGCCCGCCTAAGTACCGATACAAAATAGGAATACTTATGTGTGATTATGGCGTATGTATGTATGTATGTACATATGTATTCTCGTACCTACGTACGTATGTACATATACATATGTGTATATGTAGAGCATATGATGTTAGCAACGTGAGTGTAGTGTTCACGTACAGCTATGCGTATATGTATGTATGCCCGCACGCACGCATGTATGCATGTATGTATGTACTATATATATTGTGATGTTTCGTATGTATGTACTATGTATGTATGCATGAGTGGCTTTTAATCGTCAATGCTGGATTAACATCATACATCATTTGTATATGTGTATTTATGTACTACGCACTTGTGTATTTATGTTATTCGTTTTTTACAAATATTAAACGTTACTAGCTATCTATTTATGCAGGCATATGTATATATACGCTAGAATCGGGATATTTCTCTATAGCTACGGCATTGGTGCATGAATGGCACAAAAATTGCAACGTTCCCATTAATGCTCTGCTGGTCCCGATTCATGGGTCCCGGGTCCCGGGTCCCAGGTCCCGGGTCCCGGGTCCCGAATAGTCGACTCAGACGGAGCATCCGGCGAACAATTGATTCACAAATGAATTATTAATAATTATTTAACATATACATATGTAATGGCACTTGAACTGAAACTTATTTGACTATACAAAGACTATCCTAAAATTTGTTTCTATTTACAAGCCCGATGCGCGCTGCATTATTTTCCCTTCCCTCTTTTGTGCGTACCCGAAGGCTTCCGTGATACGAGTAAAGGCATATAGGGCAGGGCAAGAAGTGACACTTCTACCTGTCCTTTCCGTGCCGTGACTGGTTTGTACGACATTCCTCGGCCAAGTCTGCAGAAGGGGATGTGGATGTGGCCATCTTAGTCGTCTAACTCACGCTGCGATTGAATCTCCATTTCCTCTGATGAAAAGCCAGAGGGCGATAAGCTCTCTGCAGGATAATAGAAAGTGCCAGTAGTCGCACAGCCCAACGGTTGTGAAGGAGGAGTTCCACAGTCATCACCGTGAGCTGCAGCCGCTACAGCGGCGGCTGCGACAGCCTGTGTCATGTCCTGCAAATGATAGACAGCGGCTGCAGCCGCAGCATGCACATGAGGTGGACCATCCTGTCCATTTAAGCAGGAGTCAGCAGAGGCACTTCCCGGACCCCCAGTACTTGCGCCACCAGTGCGGCACCAGAGCTGCCTCATCTCTGCTCGGCGATTGCGCATCAATACTTTATACTCTGATATGCGCATCTTCTTTCCATCCACGATGCACGTGCGTTTGGGACGCGGCCGGTAGCGGTAGTCTGGATGCTGCTCCATGTGGAGCTTCGAGAGACGCGACTGCTCCTCATAGTACGGTTGCTTGTCTGCGTTCGACATAGCCTTCCAGCGGGCGCCCAAAATTTTCGATATATTTGAATTATGCATGTCCGGGCAAGCTTTCAAAATCTTCCTACGCTCATCCTTTGCCCATACCATGAATGCGTTCATCGGCCTCTTGATGTGTGGCTTGCTGTGGCCATGACTGTGACCATGGCCATGGCCATGTCCGTGTCCATTTCCATTTCCATTTCCATGTCTCTGCGGATGTGTTGATGAAGGTGGCTGAGCACCTGGGCTAACTTGATTTTTGTTAAAACAGTCTGGGTCTAGCGCCGCGGAGCGTTCTGAGTTTGTGCCGCAACTGTTTGTGGAGTCACGACTGATCCGCGCCGCCCGTGATCCTCCAACTCCAATACCAGTGGGGCACAATGTTGGGCATGCATCGCCCGTAACGCCAGCGGAATTCCATATTTGACCCTTGAATTAAAAATACAAGCAAAATTCCCAATTAATGTGTTGTATTGATTTTGGTGCTCTTCAGCAGTACGTAAATACAGATTTATATTTCAGATTTTTATGTGCGCAAAAAAAAGTTTTTCCGTCTTATCCATCAGCGCACAGCCTAAACGTACGAACCTGGAATTTTTCAGTTTTCCCACCCCTACCCCTACCCCTAGGCCTACCTCTACCTCTAGTCTTAAAGTTTAACTCTAGCCTACGGAGGTTAGATCCGCCAAATCGGATCATTATGCTACTCGTATCTGGCTCTAGTATTTTTTGATAAATCCTCTGAAAATAGTGTACTTACACGAGTTTTTACGAGTGGGGCTTCCATGTCTGTGTAATGATGTTGGGCTGCATGATGCCAGCCTAATGGCGGACTGGATACAACGGGAGTAACACTTTCCCGCTGGTCTCTTGGGCAACAGCTGGTTGGAGAAGAGCTTGGTGATCCTTTCGGCTTGGTTAGGTTCAGGGGGACCTCCATTTCGGAGTCTTGAACTGCCTCCGAAAGACTTGCCACGCTATGATCGGCCGGCGAGGATGGAAATGTTAGGGAGCATTCTTCAGGGACACTTTGGCTCTGCACTAGGGCTGTTCGACCGTGGGGTGACTCTGGTGGCGTGTGGCTGTACGAAAGCATTGAATAGCTATGGCTCTCCTGAATGGGAGACTCTGGCCTTGACTTGCAGCTTCCTCTCAAAGCTCCAATCTCACCGGAGGCATCCGCCGGCTTATTGACACTGGCCGATATTGCGAGTAGATTATTGTTGCTGGAGCTGTGGTTGTTATTGTTGGAGGCGGCCACTGCCGCTGCCGCCAAAGCGGCCTGAATGTGTGCCGCCGCCACCGCTGCTGTCGGCCACATTGGTTGCATAGTCATTTTGTGTGCGCCCGTTGGTCCATGCTGACTATGACTGTGCTGGTGTTGGTGCTGGTGTTGGTGCTGGTGCTGCGACTGCGGACTCCCATGGCCAGGCATTAATTGGATCAGCTGCTGTGCAGGTACTGGTGGACGCAGGAAAGCTGGAAGAAACGGTACCAAGTTGCCGGAACTAACAGCAGTTGCTTGCTGCTGATGATGGTGATTCGGTACTGCAAAACGTCCTGCCCCGAACTGTGCATTCAGCTGGTGATGCAGCTCCTGCAGGCAGCTCTCTTGCTGCAGCCTCTGCACATTTTGGAGTTGCTGCTGCTGCTGAATACTTGCATCGATGTCGGTCATGCTATCGAACTGAGTCTGAAACGAAAAGAAGGAACCAAATTTCTCAGAAATCGAATGATCTGCATTCTAGAAATTCACTCAAAAGCTAAAAATCATATATATATATGTACATATGTATATACATGTGAATATATGGATATTCAAGTCAACTCTCGCCATCCTTAATCATTTAAAAGTTAAGCGACAGACTAGACTTTTTTTAAATAAAGAAACATTAGCTTTGTATATTGGCTAACAGGTTTCCATAAATGTAGATTTTATTTATTTTTTCGATCGGTCCATAGCCATAGCGAACAGTTCCGACACACATACATATTGTGCAGGAGCATACATACATATGTACATAATTATGTAAGTACATAAATTTAGAAGTGTTTGTACGAGTATTGCACACAAATGAACATTTGATAATACCCATTTATTATTAGGCAAAAACTTATTCGAGTATAAAGTGCAGATGTGTTGTGCCTTCTCCCCGCTTATGGGTTATAGCTCAGCCCCTTATCCTGTCCGATAGATTGCATGGATAGTGCATCCAGAATCTCTCCTGGGCTGGGAGCTCTCACTTTTACGAGTCTGCTGAGCAGTCTCTCTCTCTTTACAATATATATGTATGTAGCTTGTATATCAAATAAGCTTTTGTGGATCAACGTTGTTACGATTAGACGACGAGTCTCAACTAGACTTATTCAAGCGATGGGTGGGGAGGTTTCGATTTTTTCCAAGCACTAACACTGTTCACAAAGGAGTTCGAGCAGAAAATGAGCGCACAGTAATATGGATATTATCGAGCATGCTTAATAAGTTACAATATCCACCTTAGTGTCAGCGATTTCCGAATTCTGCCTCCGTAGGAATGGCTTTTATCAATTGTCTGGGCATACATACATACATACATATGTATGTACATAACTAGGTACATATGTATATGCCGCAGGAACGCATAGTTCTGTAAAACTTGTTCATAATTTCGTGGATGAGACACAAAAACAGCTGCAACATACAAACAAACAAAAAAAGCACTTTAAGAACAATTTCCAAACAATTTACAATGTGCAATGTGCAATGTACGGAGTTGAGGAGGTGCTGCAGAGGTATGCAGAGTTAATGCATTATTTAAATGTCACTACTCGCAGAGAGAAACACTTTCGCCACAAAGGAGAGGCACACTTCTTGTTCGCTGAGCTTGGCACTATGCTGAAATATAATTTCATAAAGTCCTCAGCCTCAGATATGTAAAAGCGAGCACGAGTATCGTTTCGGATTTTTACCTAAAATGACAGGTGGCTCACCATTACTGCCATTACTGCACTGCAAGAAAGCTGAATACCGATTCTGTAGGGGTGTGTGTGTCAAAATGAAATGAGTGGAGTGGAGTGCATGTGGATGTGGCCAAAAAGTGCTCTTTGCCTGATTGGCTGAAGCACCGCGTTGGGACGGACACCTTTTTCTTGCCTTACACAATGACAAATCGCAACGAGACGCGTATCCGTGTGAGTATCTGGAACCGACAGAGCAGAGTGTGTTCGGATGATGTCGAACTCCAACGAGCAGGATTGTTTGCTTTAGCCCCCCGGAATGGATTGCGTGTCCATGCGACCGTTATTGGAAGGCACCAATATTCCACTTTCCCTTTACTATTTCAAGCGTCATTAGGGATGTTTAATATACATATGTATGTACATATATATTGACATCTTTGATCTTTGCTCATAATTTATGTATGTAGGTATGGTATTTTTATGGGATATCAAATGGACTTTTCTGAATTCAGAAACAAATTTCGACACTATTCTATTCTGTTGTTTCCTTGTCCGCGGCGCCCGAAAGATTGAGGCAGCAGTCCGTCCACAGCCTTTCCACAGTACATTTTTCCCATTTTCCCATACAAACCGACGCTGCTGACGTCGCTGTCGCTGTCGCTTCGCTGGTGTTGGTTGGACCCGAAGCAGCATTGACTCTCTTATTAGAAGAGCTTAACATCTAACAATGGAATGGCTGCGAGAACAGCTAAGAGCGCAGTAGAGTATAGTATAGTATAGTTCAGTATTGTATAGTATAGTACCATCGGTTGGTTTGTTTTGTTCGTTCTCTGTGAGTCGCTTCTCTTTAGCGTCTCTTTATTGCGACGACTCATTTGCTCTCTCCACCGGCGCGCAGCTTTTTGCCCTCTACTCCTCCACCCACCCTAGTCTTCGAGGTCAGGAAACAAGCAACGAAAGCAAAGCACCACGACACACAGAGCGGTTGGGTTGGCTGGGAAATTGATGTGGATGTGGGCGTGTATTCAATTGTTCTGCACATACATATTGTGCACGAATTACAAGCATTACACTCGTAGTCATTTTTCAGCTTCTATCTGTCCATTGGTAAGCTTTTCGCTCGCTCGCTCACTCGCTCGCTCGCTCTCTCTCTCTCTCTCTCTCCGTATCTTTCTCTATCTCTCTCTCTCTTTGCATCTTTCTGTCTTTTTCTCTCTCCCTCACTGTCTCTGTCTATCTATCGCTAGCGTGTATATGCGTGCATTTGTACACGGTATGTACATGAATGCTGAAAAACAAAAACCTTTTTGTTTTTGCATGGCGCACACAAAAATCGATAGCCAGACAGCTAGCACGCCAACGCAAACGGAAAAGGGCATTGAATTGATTGTGCAACACAACACAATAAGAATACGAAGCGAAACGAAACGAAACGAAACGGGCACGAACAGGAACACGAAGCTGAGTATAAACCTGAAGCTCCTCCCCTTATCGTTCAGGGACGAAGCGAAGCGAAGCCAGTCGTGCAGAAGTGGTATGTGGGTGGGTGGTGGGTAATGCATGGCTTGCTTGCCTCGGCCAATTGTCTCGTCAATTATTTGCCATTGTACGACATGTATTGCGTTTCGGTTGGCGGACGGGTAACGGAACTTACCAGTGTACATACATACATGCATACCATGTGCATACAATACATAAGCCCACATGTACGTACATATGCACCTGCTCGTATGTATATAGATAAATATAAGACGAGATGTCCTCCTCTTGATTGTTTGTCCCTTAGTAGTATGCATATGCATATGTACATATGTATGTATGTACATTCGTACAGTTACCGTTCATCTTTATTATTCCGGGAAACACCATACATTCATACATAAACATACATATGTACATATATGTACATAGATTGTACATACATACATATACTATGTACATACAAATATGTCGGCTTATTGTACCTACACATTTATGAGCCGAAGAATGTTTTAGAAATCGTCGCGAACAAAAGCGTCCTCAATAAAAACCACACAGACATCAATTGATGTGCATAAGTATGTACATATGTACATATTTATGTACATATGAACCGGTACATATGTATGCACATATGTATGTGTGTATGTTTTATACCAACTATGTACGTAAGGAGGTGGCGTTAACCCGTATCAGACGTGGAGGCCAAATAAATCTTTCAACTAATCACGGTTGAAAGTAACTTTTTTTTGTTTTTTTTATTATCACGGGATTTTATTTATCGAATCTTCCCTATTAGAGACTTACGACAAGTATACAAATCTTAGCGTAATATATTTATTTAATTAATTACACTTAATTACTTAGAGTACGTCCCTAGCTAAGTATTATTGCTGGGTGCGAAGGTCTCTTCGCCGGAGTCGTGTATGGCTAGTGTGCCAAGTTAAAGACTGCGCAAGTCTATTAGGATGGGCTTGAAGCTTGGCCTGGTACTTTGCTTTCACTTTAGCAATTTCATCTTTAACTGATCCTACATTTAAGTCTTTATGGATATTTTCATTCCGTATGTACCATGGTGCCCCAGTGATAGTTCTTAGTATCATCGATTGAGCTCTCTGGATTATTTCTAAATTACTAACGCAAGCATTTCCCCATAGCTCGGAGCCGTACGTCCAGATGGGTTTGAGAACTGCATTGTACAAAAGTACTTTGTACTCCAGTTTTAGTGGTGAACGGGTGTTTATTAGCCAATGTAGATTACTAGCTTAACTTAATATATAAGTTAATATAAAAAAAAAACAAAAAACTATGTACGTAGTTTTGTATTTCCTCCTTATAAATACAAAAATGTGTGGAATTTCGATCTGTTTCCATCGCCACACGTTAAACAGCGAATCCCCAGCCCAGCCCATGATGGTGTGATGTGGAATGCGATGTGGGCCGAACTCTCAAAAATCAACTGCGCTCCACGCAGCCAGCCATTGTCTGCGACACTGTTTTAGCACTGCTCTCGTTCCACACAACGGTTAATCAGGCGGGGAGATGAGGCACAAAAGAAGAAGAGAAATGCACAGGCAACAGAATAGCTAAGCTAACTTGGAACACACTGAAAACAACCTCGCAATGAATTCTCGAACAGCACAAAGACCCATATATGAATATTGGGATCCGATCCGATATTTAGCTTTAGAGATTTTGATACCAGGTCTTTATAATTTCAGCATTTTAAGTATTAAGCCTTTTTGGGCGTGGCACTTTTGATTTCGGAGCGTAGAAGAAATCATTGCTCGGTCCGGAAGAGGACCCCTAAGAGTAAGCCTGAAAACTTAAGGCAGGAGGTCGAAGGGAATTCAAAACTGAGTTATATGCACTCGTACCATTGTATTTAAAACCCCTTTGATTATAAGAAGAACCCTGAAAATCGATTTTGTATGCGAAAACCTTCTCCGTTAGAGGATGGTCGAGGCGTGCGATACAACAAGACCAGACCAAGCCTATTGTATCCTCAAAAGTGATTAAACCATGTTATGTCATGCAAGAATTGTTTTCATTTACAGCTACAAATGTCTACCAATATACATACACATGTACATAGAGAGAATAAAGAAAAAGAATACAGTTAAACATACTAAGCGCTCTAAGCGCAGGTTTAATTATGCGCAAGACCCTTCTTGCAGGCTCAGAGTTTATCCAAATACAAATATACAAATAATATATTGTGTGTACATCTGATCTTAAGAGCTTCGGTATTTGTATCATACTTGTATCGATTCG